TAGCCTTTAGATAATTCTAATCAGCTAGGCAGTTGGTTCCCTTGATAAACATTTCCGGTGCACTTAAAATTGCTTTGTGAGTGATTGATATAATTATGAGAACTAATATACAATCCTGTTGAAGCTGTTTACAGTTGCTTAGTCTTTGTCCTTTTTCTTTGTTTTTTTTTAATTTTTTTTTTTTTTTTGGGGGGGGGAGGAGGATCTGTTCTTTATCCTACCCAGATTTGTTTAATTTATTGCACCTAATCATTAATTGCACACATATTAAACAGTCCCTGGATGACCACAAGAGCGCTGAATGCTTTCCCAATGGCTCATTGTTGGTTCTGTCAGTACTTTTTGTGGTGCTACTGTAGTTAAAATTGTTTCTGCAATCACACATCTAAAGAACAAGGCAACAAGCTAAATACTAAGAGTCACTTCTTGATTTAAGCGAGTGAAGTGTCAAATTAATAGTTTGACAGTTACAAGATAACATCTTTGAATATTATTTTCCCTTTTCGCTTTGTCTAAGTGATTTGCATGGCTTCAGGTTAGCTTCAGTTACCTTAGACTACTCAAAATAAACAATAAAACAAATTGCCATAGGTCAGTTAACTTTAATTAAAATACAGCTAAAAGTCAACATATTAGTTCTACCATAGCAGAAAGTCAGTGAGGCAATGATAATCCTTCAATTCATTGATAAACCTTTAATTCCTACATTTAAGAACATTAGATAAGAGACAGTGAACTCTGTGTTGAACTCTTGAAAAGATCTCAAGAGGAGGACCTCTCATTAAACATCTCCCAAGAGATAAGACAGTGCATGCATCACTATCAAACAAGATACACTAACAAATATACATTAACCAAATGCAGGACTGAAAGATTGTGCCATAGTTTTTTCCCCAAATACTAATTTAGCTTTCAACAATCAATAGACTTATAGATATAGATATATTTTAACTTGTATAAGCATAAATTAATTTGTAATTTTAAAATAAAATCTATTGTAACCCAGTCCCTTATTGAATAACAGTATGTAATTTCTATTAACTGCAATGATAATGGAATTAAACTTCTTTTATTATTGTAATAATAATAATCATCATCACCCTCATCATCATCATTATTATTATCATCCCAATCAATGTTTGACTGTGTTGGAAAGGTGGCACTTCTTCCCTCATGCAGCTAACGAGGGTCACTGACAGTTCCTTTGTGGTACTACAGTTGTGTACTAGGTGAAATTGTTACCCTGTTCTTGTTATCAAGAAAATGAGTGATTTGAAGATTGGGATGGAATCGAGTCAAAAGAATGATAATTTTGATTTCTGAAAATACGGTACCTCAGCAGTCATAGTTGGACAGTTTCATATAACTTAAATTGTTTGTGTTTAAGATATGAAATTTGTGATGATCCATGAAAATAAATTGTTTACAATTCATATCTACAAAAAAGAATAAGTCAGAATAAGACCAAATACCACTAGTTGGAATAACACTGACTACAGACTGAGAACAACCAATGGTGCTGATGGCTGATACAGATGGTCATTTTCTTGTGCCAATACCTCTGGAAACAGGTTCACGATTATTTAGTAATTATTCTCATTCTTTGAATTAATTATGCTGGAATTCATAATTATTACAACAGTTCCTTTCAGTATCCAGGTAAAGGTAATTGTATAAAATCTCTTGGCATTCTCAATTTTGATGTTGCATTAATTTTACTTCATACAATTCTTTCCTAGTATTAAAGAAATATTATACGTTAATCTACATGATAAATTAGATTTTTTTCAACTTAATGGCCTGCTCCCAGTTGGCTTGTTAGCTCAATTGGTAGAGCGCTGCACTAGTATCGCAGAGGTCAGTGGTTCGAATCCC